TTAGTTTTTAGTTGAGTTTCAGACTCTATATATTCACTAATGTATTATTGGACTAGTTTTAGATAACCACTTGAATAAAACTTATATAACTAAAACAAATAGTTAATTCACTTTAAATTGTGTCAACTTAATCAACAACTACAACCGTACGCGTGCTAGCGGTAGGGTAGCGCCCGAGCCCTGAAGGGCTCAGTTTCGGACACAAACGTGTCCGAAAACCAACTGGTCATCGGCGGTCGTCCCGCGAGTAGCTCTACGTTCATGATTGGTTGGTCAGCCCAGACGGACTCAAGAGCCGCTCACCCGAGTCGATTCACGCGCGCGTATTATATTGTAGTATGAGTTGTTCATTACTTGGTGTCGTTTTATTTCTAATATTTCAAATGTAAAATTAACCATTATACAATAAAATTTAATTATCTATATAATGTCCATCATTAGCAATGACTTTCTGCCATTTTTCAGGCAAAGCCATAATCCCCTTCTGAAAGTAGTCCTTTGATTGAGAGCCAAAAAACTCATCGATGGTTTTTTTGATATCATCGATTCCAGTGAATGTTTTTCCATTAAGAAACGTCTGTAAATTTCGGAACAAATAATAATCTGAAGGTGCGATGTCTGGAGAGTATGGTGGGTGAGGTACAACCTTCCAACCCAACTCTTTCATTTTATTTTGAGTCATTCTTGAAGTATGACTCGACGCGTTGTCTCTTTGATATCTAATCCTATTACAATTAATTAATCTTGGACGTTTTACCATCAATACTTCTTTAAGTCTGTCCAATTGTTGACAATAGAGCTCAGATGTTATCGTCCGACCATATTCGAGAACTTCATAATGAATAATACTAATCCAATCCCACCAAACACACAGCATTGCCTTCCTAGGATTGAGGTTTCTTTTCGGCGTCTGTATCGCAGGTTCTTCAGGATCGACCCATTGACCACCTATGACAGGGTTTTCGTAATACACCCACTTCTCATCCATTGTCACTATTTGTTCCAAAAATGGAACGTCTTTGAGATCTGACAGCAAACGTCGACATGTCTCTACTCGATTGGCTCTTTGTTCGGGTGACAAATCATGTGGTACCCATTTTCCGATTTTATATACTTTGCCAATTTCGGTCAAATGGTTATATACTGTAGTTCGACAAACCCCATACTTATGTGACAAATCGTGAAGAGTTTGCCTCGGATCCGCTTCTATTTCTTTCAAAAGAACTTCATTATCGATGACAATAGTAGGGTGTCCTCGACTCTTATCCACAAGAGATCTGTCATTCGATTTAAATCGATCAAACCATCTCTGAACTTTTCGAACACCAATTGATTCGGGGTATACTTCATTGATCCGTTTTGTCGCTTCGGTGGCATTAATTCGGCCCAATTTCTTCATTCGATCAAATTCGTATAAAATACAATGCCGAATATGTTCTTCTTCGGGAGACTGGTCAGCTTCGGTGGACATATTGTTATCACAAATGTTTGATTGATATGTCTACTTGTGTTTACAAACAGAAAACAATATGATATTTGTAAAATACTATTCACAAATACCGTTACAAAAAACGTATCAAAATACGACATCGAGTGTTAAACAAACTATATATACCGTATCTCATCAAACAATGATAGTTTTTTAAAAAAGGATAGTAAGCTTTTTTGAATGATATGGCTATTTTTACTCACAAAACACATACAAACATAGAGAGAGAGAGAGAGAGAGAGAGAGAGAGAGAGAGAGAGAGAGAGAGAGAGAGAGATCTGTATTAGATATCGATTTCTTACAGCAAAAAATCGCTAAATTAGATTAGTTTTGATATAAAAACGAGATATATATATATAAATAGACAATAGATAACTACGTACTACACGAACAATGTATAAAAAATATTGTTAAATAATATGTTAGAATAGAAATTGTATTTATTTTTTTTAAAAATACAGAGTTTTTTTGTGTGTGTTGTGGACACACATAGACTACTATAAAAGCATTACGTGATTATATCACACAAATATATTAGCAAATAATTGAATAACTATCAAATCTAATATAATTTTATTGTCAGTCGAGTGATAGGAAAACTACTTTCCCATGGGTTGTATGTATTCGTAAATAGATTTTTTTATCTACAATATTAAAATAATAATAATATTTTATAATATAATATTATTTAACGATATAATTATACAATAATCAATTTTAATGATATTAGTACAGTTTATGTTGTTATTTATTTATTTTTTTTAATTATGTGTGCGTTTAAAATAATCATTAATTTTAATATAAAAAAGTTAATGTTTTGGGTCATCACATAATGTTACACCTAATGTTTACTATAACTTTTTTATTATTATCATATACAGTATATATTTTTTAATAATATAAAATAAAATCTAATATAATATAAATACCACATGAAGCATTATTATTAAATTTTATACGTATTTACAAAAAAATATTAAATTTTTTAATAATTTTATTTTCTCAAAAAACACTAAATTCATATTAAAATCTAATTTAACAAATATTTTTCTGTAATATATATTTTATTTAGAATTATTATTGTTATAATATACAATTTATTTGCAAAATATTATTTTTTTTTTAAATATTAACTTTTCTAACAAAACTGTTTGACATATAATAAATTTTAATGAAAATAAAAACTTCGTGTTTTTATTATTATTATTACATTTAAAAATTAAAAACTTTTTCTTGTAAATTCATATTAATATAAAAATTTATTTAAAAATAAAAATAATAGATAATAGTATTTTTTAAATATATTAATATATATTTTTAACAACAAAACATACACACATAAACACACTAAGCAAATAATATACAGTAATATTAGCTAAAAAATTTTATTTTGATACATTATTTTTTATTTTGTTTTTATCTTATATAAAATATTTCATCATATTTTGTCTACATTTTTAGATATAAAATTTGTTCATTTACTGTGTGTTTTGCACTTTGTATTGATTTTTGGTTATATAATTTTTTTATATTGTGTGTATGTGTTATGTATTATGTATATAATTACACTATATTTGATTTAACCAAATATTATTTTTATTTCTTATGTTAATATTTATCAAAAAAATATATATTAACAATTATAGTTAATTAATAATGTAGTAAATGCAAATGTGCAAGATAAACTATTTTATTTACAAATGTTATAGAATTTAAGCTATAAATTTATATTTATCATTATTTTATAATTAAAAAGCATTAAATTGTTAAAGTATTTTTTACTTATTTAAGTCATTACAATTACAGTATACATATATATAAATTATATTAGTTTAATGTAAATTTTACAAACAAATGTGTTTACAAAAAATACGATTTGAATAAATGTTTAATCAATAAATAAATAAAAGTCTGATATTATTACACAGTAATAACTATTTACTGAATATATTCAAACTAATAAAAAAAATATAATTTATACGATTTTTAAATAGTTTCTAATTTGTTTTATTTAAATAAAAAAAATTGTTTGTATTTTTAAATATTTTATTAAATAAAAACTCATGAGATATTTGTTTAAAATTTGAATTTGCATTTAAATGATAACTCTTATGTAGTGTTGGCAAAAAAGAAAAATTTATAAAATAATAGAGAAATTTCTAGAAAGTTTCTAAAAGAAATTTCTATTTATGGGATCCCCATGGTTAGTTTTGTTTTCTCGATATTTGTTATCTTTAACATTGTTTTTATAAGTAATATTTAAATATTAGTATCAGTATTTTAATTATTAATTAAAGTAAAAAATTATTTATTTAATTATATTAAACTATGATATAATAAAATGGTGAATAAACTTTTACAAAACTGATTATTATTAAATAATTATTTATATAGGTATCCCATTTGTATAATATAGTATTATACAGTAATCTACATTATATAGTATAATATTATATGTATAGTATTAAATGTCTCATTAATATATTTATAGTTTTACAATATCTATAGATATGGGGATCCCATAGTATAACAAAAAAGTTAAATATCTATAGATGGAAATTTATTAGAAACTTTCTATTTGCCCTTCTCTACTCTTATGTGATAATACTTTATACTAATGTTATTTTTTGTTTTTTATTTATAATTTTACGAAAAATACATGATAAATATAGACTAATATTTATATTGCAAATATATAAAAAATAAATTTATATTTTAATGCTAAATAGTAGCAAATATAACAACTTAAGCGTCTTTAATTCTATATAATACTGTATATAGTTTACAAAATTAAATTATTACTATAAATAAAAAGTTTAAATAATTATTTTATAAAATCTTTAATAAAAAATATTTAATATTTTACAATATAATTTATAATAATTGCAACATTTAATCTAAAAAAATATAATATTTTTATTTATGCTATTATATTTTGTTTATAACGACATTAACACAGGAAACATCATTAAATCGATGCTACATAAGGCTAACTAACTGTCCATTTCATAGTTGGCATCATTAATAAGTCATTCAAAGTAAAGTTATGTATTATATGATATTAAAGTATGGATTAATGCTCTCTCTTTCTTTCTTTCTTTCTCTCTCTCTCTCTCTCTCTCTCTCTCTCTCTCTCTCTATGGACACAAATATTAAAGTTTTGCCAAAAATGTTTTACTACTGTATTTTATACTGACTAAAGCAAAGTAATAACATTTATACCTTAAAATTGTTGGTTTGTCTTTCATTATATCAACTGTTAGTATAATATACTGTATATACAGAATTATACAGTACTTTGTGTTGTCTAATGAAAAAAGTCATATCTATAACATACACACACTTATTCACTAATTCAGTAAAATATCATCAAAAAATATAAAGCCCAAGTTTATGGCTCAGTTGTCAGTGTATGTACGTATGTAACGCTGTGTTATTTTTTTTATTATGTTGTCGATGTTGTCGGTATGTGTTTGTGTCTATGTATGTGACGGGAACTGTCATTACTTACAGAATACTTGAACAAAGAGTTCGCCAGAATCTCCTCTTCCCTCACTATTATAGGCCACGCATTGATATCTTCCTTCCGATTCCCGTCTGGTATTCTTTATGATCAAAGTACTGTTCCCAATGATGATACCTGTGCTCGTATTATAGGACAAACACATGCAATAAAAATAGAGAAAAAGAAAGAGACAAAAAAATAAGAGTTTATTAAACACACTGTCATTATGTGTAACAATCAATGGTATGAGTATGTGATGTACAGTACAATATGATTACTATTATAACATCTACTGTATAGTCAAAGTTATATAATATAACTCTCTCTCTCTTTCTCTCTATTGCTTTGATTAGTTAGTGAATACCAGTACTAATGAATGTCATTGAATGGTAAGACATAAATATATATATAAAGAAGCTATTGATGATGTCTATGACTGTCGTCTATGACTGTCCTTAATATAAATAAAAATACTGTATTGTAGTGTATTAGTGAACTGGTAGTTAACACAATACTGAGTCAGTAATAGGAAAAGTCAAAATTAAATATATATCATAAATATATCAGCAAAATGTAATAATAATTGAAAATATTAGATATATTTTTCGCATAATTGTTAGCAAAAATTTTGTTACTGATTATATATATAAATAAATAAATACTTAAAAGGTTATATGATTAATATTAAATAGAGTATAAATCATTTATAGAAATATTTGTCAACAAATTTTGTTAAATATTTTGAATATTATAAATATTAAGTAGTAGTAGTCGTACAGTACATTAAGTTTATTAAAATGTTATATTATATCTATATAACTATGTCTATAATTATCGTAAAATAATAAATATTATACAAATTAATAATAGCTATACACTAACTATACTGTCGTATAATAATGCATTTGAAAATCGTTATGTACAGTACAATGCGTTATAGCATTTTATATGTTTGCAATTAAATTGTAAGTGAATGTCAACTAAAATTTTATGTCAAATACTACTGTAAATAGTGGTACAAAAATTTATTGTCTTTAATTATCTATAAGTGCATAAAAGTGTTTGACATATAAAATCTGCTAACATCGAGAAAAAATTAACAATGCTAGTATCGTTTAAAGTTAACTACTAGTGTATTGTATAATAGTATAATATTGCTTAACTACTAAAAGTAATATCAATATTATATATATAATATTGATATATTTAAGCACTATTTTGTAAGTATGAAAAGCACTGGTAGTCCTTTTTTTGGCGTTCACTGATAAAGTTAGTCAAATATGTGGCACAGGATCTGAATGAGCGTTAACTGAATTACCATTAGTTGTAGAGTTTAACAATAGTTAGTAATGCATAACATTAACTATGTATATAGTGTTTAATATTAATAGCAAAAACTACAGAATAACTATAATACAGTTGATATCTATAATAATAACACTTATATTTCTAATATAAATCGAAAGTCATATACACTGTATATATATTGTAAATATGGATATAAGTTATATATATTTAATATTTGTAAAGAATATTCTTTTGTATTTTTCTGTATACATATTTATTATATCAACCAATTGTATGCACTTGACGTTTGATCTACTAGTGCTAAACTATTATACCATATGACATAACAGTATTATTATTATTATTATTAGCTCCTTTACCTTATGTTAGATTATTTATTAGAAAAGCGTTAATACAATACTAACACAAAAAGGGTTGTTCGGGTTCAACGAAACGCACAGTTGGCGCACAACAACTAACAGTATAACAGTATGTTTGTCCATACCTTTAGCAACATCTTGTATGAGCTCTTTCCTATTGAACAGCCATCTAATTCTTGTAGGTTTGGGATTACTGCTGACATTACACTCCAATAGTATCTCATTGGACTCGTTAACGGTTGCCGTCATCGATGAATAGTCGACATCATCGTTGTTCCCTGAGCCCATAACCAGTGTCACGTTTGGCATAACTGTTTTTTATTTTTATTTGTTTTTATTTTTGGGGGTAACGGTAGGTATTCAATAAGTATGTGTGTGTTTATGGCACATCCATATGGCGCGACATAGAAAGAGAAAATTGAAAGCAAAAATAATAAATAAAAATTATTAAAAATTCGTTAATGGCTTTTTTTAAAAAAAATATTATACGAAAATTGTTGTGTCAAAAATATAATATATAGTATTATTTTGCATTTTCATAATTAACAGCAGTAAAACTATAGTGTAATAATAATAATAATAATAATAATAATAATAATAATAATAATAATAATAATAACGATATTAATAACAACAACAACAAGCGATGCTATCGATTAATGTTTTGTTGTAAGTCTAGAAAACAACGACAACAACAACTGAGTGTGAAATTTGTTAGAAATTAATTTATTGTAAAATATATTTATATTACAACAGAAAAATGTTTGTTTGGCAGTTAATTTTGATATCATATCTTTATGTTATTAATTTCTATATGAACTGTTATGTGCCAAACATATTTGCACCTAACTGTACTGTTCTAGAGCTTAGTTGGCTTATAAACTACTAGTGTTTTGAAATATAAATATCTATATATTGACTATCATTTATCATTGGGTGCTAACAGATAGTGAGTATTACATTGGCATCGGGTTATGGTCTCTCTCTCTCTCTCTCTCTCTCTCTCTCTCTCTCTCTCTCTCTCTCTCTCTCTCTCTCTCTCTCTCTCTATTATTGTCTTTATATCAATCTAGGATTTGTATCCCCCGTTTTCACAAAGATTGCATGTACCGGGTATTGAGATCCCTAACTATGTTTTTCTTTAGCTATACTGTATATTGGTTAAAAGCCGACAACTTAGCCTTTCGGCCACCGAGACACCATTGTCTCTATATGACATATACACACACATAAAAAGAGTGTGTCCAGTATATCCAATTTATATTTTACGGCACTACAAGTTATATCATATACTGTACTGTAAGTGCAATGAAAAAATATTAGAGATTATTATTGTGTTAAATGAAATAATAAATTTTATGTCAACAATAATCAAGAGCTACAAAACAAACGAGTAGTCAGTCACCAGTTTATTGAGATTTAGGTATTACTTAACACTATTACTTTATACCTATACATTAACACTTTATACTACATAGTCTCATATCATTGACACAATCAACACACACACAGATTCAACATAGCATCCCTGTGCTCTCACTAAAAGACGTACTGTACTGTACACTACAAGTCATTCAAGTATATGACCTAATATTTATTTTTTGTTAAAAACCTTAAGCTCGTGGATAATAGACATATACGCCATAAAACTAAAGCGGTTATCATTTCTCATAGCTCTCTCACTCACTCACTCATCCTCTCTTTCTCTCCTTCCCCTCTCTCTCTCTCTCTCTCTCTCTCTCTCTCTCTCTCTGTCTCTCTCTCTCCTTACACTCACTGACTATTGCCCATCGACCATCAATAGTGAAATGCGAGAGCACTGGGAGTTTTGGCACACAGGGAGATAGTTAGAGCCCGGGAGATGAGAAAAATAAATAACTTCTTATCAAATCAAGTGTTGTCTTACATTTGACGTCAAGATTTATGCGGTCTTCAGCGGCACTGTTAGATAATTTGGGATTTTCTGCACGACATCGTAGGTCTAAACCATTATCTTCAGGCGTCGGTACAAATGTTACGATACTTTTGGTGCCGTTGCCCTCCAAATGAGTATCTCTGTGTACATATTATACAAATATATATATATATATATGTTATATATGTGTTTTGAAAAACTTATTGACAAATATATAGAAATATATATATCATAGTTATATTAGATTTTTAATATTATATGTGAAAAGACAAACTATTGTCAGTTTATTTATTTTTTTGTAAATCTTTTACAGTGTATGGCTCTGTATAATGGCGTTAAATAAAAGTTTTGGCAGCTTTTCTTGTATTTGTATGTAGTGTTCAAAACTGCTGGTGCTTTCAAACCATTTATTTTAGTGGCACTCTTCGAAAGTGTCAATAAAATGTCAATTTATATATATATATATATATTTAACCCTTTTTTGTTGTTTTATTTTTTTAAAAAAGCATATCAAAGTTTCACAGAATATTCTATATTTTTTATTTATAAGTTTTTTTGTTGTTGTTTTAAATCGATACTCTCGTCACATACATACAAATGTATATAAAATTAAATAGATATTATTTGGCATAATATACAGTATTAATATAAAATCTAAAATTTATTTTCAACAAATGATATTTAAAGGTTTATCTGCACTTAATGTGAAAATCAATTAATAAGTTAGTMGTTAAGTAGTTAGATTTATAAAATAAATTTATTAATGATAAATATATATATATAAGTATATATATTTGTATAAAATTTAAACAGTATTTGTATTGTTTATATATATACTAATTTTTATTTAAATTAAACTTAAATTTTGCATTCATTTAAATTACAATTTTATGTAGTTGACATCAAATATGCAAAAATAAACAAACAAATGGGTAATTTAAATAAATAGCCATGTTGAAATAAATAGATTTACGACAATTGGCTTTAATGATAAACTATTAACTTCTCAATAATAAAATATCTTATAATAGAATATTCTTGTTATTTGTATATTTATTTATAAATTTRTTTCACTTTTTTTCTAACTCTTTCATTATAATACTGTCTATAATACTGTATATCGTATATAGTAATGGACCTGAAAATAAATATGCATTATTAGTATACTCAACCAACAACTTATATAACAAATAGAAAACACAATTTTATTTTGGCAATAGATTTAAAATCATTAAATTAATGGGTTATTGATTTTGTTGCTGCAATTTGTTATAGAAATACAATGTTTATACAGTTTAAAGCATCGATATATTAGTATAATACTGTAGTTGCATATGAGACAATAGCACTGGTAGTTTAAATGTATTTTAAATATATATAATGTATGGATATATMTAGAAATCTATTCTCATCACAAAACAAAACACGAATTTTGAAATAAAACAATCGATTTGTTGTTTTGTTACAAACAACAAAAATATCTAAACTGAATACAAAATATATTATATATATAATAAAAAATATTCTGTGATTTTGTTTATAAAACTTTTATTTAATTTTTATTTTATTTCATAAAACATTCAATTATCGACTTAACCTAATGGATATTTGGTAAGTAATAAATCAATCATCATCATCATTATGTAATACATTGACAAAAAAATATTTATATCATATATATATATATATACAATATATAGATATATTATTATTAACAGTATAACTAAAACATATTAAATTATCAGTGCGTAATGTCCTATTGATGATATACCCCCTTAAATAAATTGATTAATAAGATTATTTTTCATCAATCACCCAAAAAAAATGTTAAAAAAACATAAATTAATTTTTTATTTATTATCAAACAACAACAAAAATATTAGAAATACTATATATACAATTTATTGAATGAATTTTATCATATGAATGGCGCTAATATTGAATTTATAGTATATTATATCAATACATTATATATCAATATATAAATTTATATTTATATTAATATATAACTATTATGTGTGTTGCAATCATCTATCTTTTACATGTCATTAATATTTAAATGTTATTAATATGTCAACCAATACATGTTAATACATGATATATAATATATGATAGTAACACCGGTAGTTTATATGTTTAATAGATTACATATATTACAATATGGTTAAGGGAATCGACACTTACTTAAAACTGGTTAGCTTTTTGTCGCCTATAAACCATGCGATGACAGCCGCGGGTCGGGAACCGTACGTATGACAGATGGCTTCCAGTTTTCTCCCGGCAGTCAACCGATCCTTATTGAGTGACACTATTACGGCTTTCAATGGACGTACTGATCGTGTTTGGCAAAACATATTCATTACAAATTAGTGATACAATATTACAATACATTATTAAAAAAACACAATTATTTAGGCACACAATATAGTTATTAAGCTAATAAACACAAAAAAATAGGTTTATGTCATCATTAATAATACAACTAATAGACAAACATCTATCAAATGAATGTTTTAGAGTAATCATGTATTTTAATAGAAACAAACAAAATAAAAATAGTTTAGTAAATGAGCTATGATTGAGCTATTGGTGATACTGACAAACATCGATAGACTCAATGTTTATATTAATAATTTATAAATTCATTACTGTCTGCTAATTCYGTAATGAATAGAAAATAAAAAATAAAATTTACAAAATTGTTTGCAGTATTTTATAGATATAATTTTTTTATTATATATATATATATATATATAAATATTTAGTAATGTTTGGGCAAACATTACTCTACACTATTTGTTTAACTTATTGTAGACAACAAATAATATTTACGTTTGTCATGAATAATTTATTTTGTAAAAAATAATTTTTTTATTATTATTGTAAATATGTCTCTGAAAATAAAATAAAATTTAATTTCAAAATTATAAAATTATATATATATATATATTGTATATATTTATACTAACAGAATATTTCTTAATAAAATAAATAATTTTCTATTAGATATTTATATAGAGTATACACTGTTGATAAAATTGATAATAATTGTTGAAAATGTTTATCAAACACTTGAAGTAAAATTTTAAATTAAATTAAAAAATATTGAGAGATAACGACATACTTTAAATACAATATTGTGCATAAAATTTTTATGTATTTAAAATTAATTATTACAATTTAATTAATTTTTAATTAAACTTATATATGGTATCACTGCTGTGTATACTGTGCAGTATAAATGTAAATAATTTATATAATGTACAGTTATATATATATATATACAGTAATATATTCAGTAATATATATATATATATGTATATATATTACTGAATAATTTTCAAAAATTTTCAACAAAATCATTGTAYAGTCAATGTCTGCAAACAAAATTTATTATTTAACATTTTTATACTATTATTTGATTATTTACAAAGTGCTGCCAATATAGCACAATTTGCCAAATAATTAGAGATGGACAAATAGAAAGTTTCTAATAAATTTCTATGAGAAAGTTTCTAAAAAATTTATCAAAAATGAATTTCTCAAAATGGGATACATACAGTATATATAAAATAATTATAATTATCTAATAATAATCAGTTTTTAAAATTGTATTCATTATTTTATTATATATATATCACACAATTTAATATAATTAAATTAATTATTTTTTTATTTTAATTAACAATTAAAATATTAATAATAATATTTAATTATTCACAAGATTACAAATATCGAGAAAACAAAATTAACCATGGTGATCCCATAAATAGAAAATTCTTTTAGATACTATCTAGAAATTTCTCTATTATTTTATAAATTTCTTTTTTTTGCCAAAACTACAAATAATAGTAGTCTACTGTCAAACTCAATAAATAAATAAATAATTATATTATATTTGCTTACGATTTTGTAAGTAAGTCTATTATTGTTTAAATAATAATAATAATAATACTGAACTACTATATAATATAGTAGACACTTAGTAATGATTATTATATTACATTGCARAGTAAATTAGTATATATTAGTTTTTGTAATACAATTTGTATCAAATTACATATTGACGATACAAATTAATTTTAATTTTTATAATTAATAAAATAATAATTTTGTTATAAAATAATTTTGTTTACTATATAATCTTAAATTTATAATAAGTAAAATTAATGTTTTAGAAAAATGACAACATTTTTCTCACACAATTTTATTATAAAAGTTAAATATTTTTTTTTTAAACAAACAAAAAACTCTAATCTCTTATTTTTATTTTTAATTGCATGATTTAATTATTAAATTTTTTATGTATAATTTACGAAAAAAAATAAAATCTTATTTACATTTTTAAAATAATTTAATTCATAATATTATATTATACTGAAACTGAAAATTAAATTAAAAATATAATTAATAATTAAAAATGTTTAGCAAATAATTTTAGTTAGAAATAAAAAATATTTTAATAATTTTAAATATTATTATTTTTTGCTGAAAATTGTTTTATTCTAAATATAGCTTTTGAACTATTTTAGTACTAAATTAATTACATTTTCTAATAAAACTATTATTAGTTTACAATACTATCAATTAGTTTTTTCTTTTTTTTATTTATTGATGTGGTTATCATTGTGTTAATAAAATGTTTTATATATTGTAGTTTACTATACTGGTATCTAAAGTTATATATAATTTATATATGTGTGCAATCAGACTATATCTCAAATGACTATAATTAACTTACAATTTATATCAATTGTGATTGATTTGACAACTGGTTTGGTTAGCTCACTGTTAGCGGCGTGACATTTGATCACTGCATTGATGTCACCTCTGGCTATACTGTCCAGTGTTATGCCGGACACAACTGTGCTGTTGTCTCGTATCATAACTGTCTGTTTTGTGAGCTTACGGTTATTGCGATACCATGTGATGGTTGCCAATGGATTACCTGAAAAAAATAATTATAGTATAATATATAAATATATAGAAAATTATAGGATATAAGAAATTTCATATCAATTTAGTGGTATAAAAGTCAAAGTATTAGTATTATAATTATACTAATAATAATAATATTTATGTGCAATGATTGCCAGTTATGTGTTTGAGTTAATGTAATTACATATAAAAATTTAGTATAATACAGAATAATGTATATATTTCAGATGACTGTATATATATATATATATATTRCATATATATATATTAATATATGCTAAAGCGTGTTTGAGTTAATATTATTTTTATGTAATATTATCACTAATTTTGATAGTTATATATTTGACGGCTAGTTTTATCGTTTAATTAAAACACGTAGTTTTTTTATGTCAAAGTTATGTCAAAGAAACATATGTTTTTCAACTTAAAGAAATATATTTAATTTTTGTTATACGTTGTTGTATATTAATATTAACAGAAAAAATTGACAAAACAATGAAAATTAGTTGAAAAGTTTTTTTTGTTTGTAATTCTGTGTGTTAATTATGTAAACGTATTGTGAATAATTAATTAATTAATGAAAATACATGTGTTAAATATTTATGAATTCAATTTAGCTAAACATATACACTAATGTAAAGTTATATACTGCGTGTATATATATATAAATAACATTGATTATTTTAGTAACAAAAAAAATTAGCTACAAAATGTTTTGCAATATACTGTAATAATTATTGTAAATAAAATGACGATTTATTTTTTATTTTATTTATACATTAAACTAAAAGGTTGGCAAAATAATTAGTTAATTGAAACAATATTTTATTAATAAAATTATACACATAAATATATTTCTAATAAATTTATTTATAGTTTTGTTTTTAATGCTATAGTTTGTTATATATTGTTAAAATATTCAGTATTGTTTCATTCATTTGTTGTATAATATTAAATTTTATTAATATTTAATAGTTATATAATTTTAGGTAATAACATCTACAATACAATTATTTAATAAATTATATAAATATTGGATAATATTAAATAATATACAATAAAATATAATTATAACAAATATTTTATTAAATATTTTAAGCAAAAGCTTTATTTCTAACATAGAATATAATCAATTAATAAACAAATTTTATTTTATAATATTTTAACAAATAATATTTTGTGAAATATATTTAATATATAAAATGTTAGGCAATTTAATGTGTATTATAAAATTAAGATTATTATTAATATTATTAAAGCATTTTTGTTTGCTTTAATATCTGTATATTATTCGTTACGCATTTATATTGGGATTTCAAATCTAATTTAATCCTAAAGAAAATATATTTAATTAAAGTGTATATAATGTTTATTACTTATATTAGTTATACAATGACTAAAACATATTAAAATATAAATGCATTATATAATAAAACATTATGTATAAGTACTTAATATTAAAATTTATACACTATATGTATGATTCAAAATAGATATTAAAATTTTCATTTTAATAATGAATTTAATGTTTGTTCATATATATATATATATACTATATATATATTGTATTTTATATATTTATGTGTATTTATATATTTATGTGTATTTAAAAAATTATATGCATTATTAATACACAATATAAAAAATTCTATATATTCTTTATAGCATTAGTTAATATTTTAAAAATATAAATCACTATAATAGCTTATAAAAATATAAATACATACAAACTACTTACTGTATTATTTTATAAGATTAACTTTTTTAATGACTTAAAATTTTTAAATTGATAAATGTCATAGATATTACATGTTATCTTAAAGATATTAATGTTTTCTATTAAATTCATTATTTTAAATTTTAATTCACTTGAAACTATAATTGTAAATATAAATTAATCATATTATATATATTTATATTTTGTATTATTTCTGTTAATAAATGTATGTTATAATGTTATGTAATCTGTTAATTATAAAATAGTATATTTCATATACAAAAATTTATATATCAATACTTTCTTTTTAGTTACTTAATGAATAATTAAAATCAATAACAAAAAACAATAATATTACTAATTTTTAACAACTATTTTATGATTATATAAATAACATTAAAAAATTACTAGTATAAAAATTGCTAGAAACAATACATTATTTTTTAATATGAAATTAATTTAACACTATATAATTAATTTAGTGTTTATGCAAATAAAAATATTTATTTAAAAACTTTATTATAAAATAATTTCTTTTTCAATTATACAAAATAATAATAGAAATTATATTTATATTAAAATTATTAATAGTATAAACAAAACGACTAACAAGCTTAAGGTTCAATGACATACAAACGGGAGGTAAGGGATGAAAGTCGTAAATATTGTATCCATTTATTATTTGCATTATAAGTATTATTTCTATTGAAATGTATTTATAGATTACTTATATATTGATTATATTAATGTTATTTATTATATAAACATAATTAACTGGAAATTAACTGGAAAAATACAATGTTTTCAGTTTTGATTTTGCATAATACAGTATAATACAGTATAATATAATGTACTGTATGTGTTATACAATTATAAAAACTAATATATACTATGTTAATAGATTATTTATGAATATTTAGTAAAAATATAATTGCTAGTGTGATAGAATGGTGGGCGCCTCCAGAGAAATATAATAAAAATATCTTTATTATGTATTTTATAAATAAGCTATACTGTATTATTAGCTATACTGTATCTAATGTTATCCTATGTTAAATTATATATGTAATTACTAAATATGATTATCTTAAATAACTAATTTATGTTATATTTAATTATAGATTTTTATAATTATGATAATTAAGAATATTGTGTTAATTAATTATGTAAAGTTAAATATTAGTTATTATTATTATAAGTTAGTTAAATGTTAATTAATTATTGTTAAAAACTCACGCATGTAATACTTATGTTTTGTCGATACCCATGCATTATATTATAATAAAATTTAGTTAAGTTTAAGTAGTTGTGGGCCTACGGGCCTACACAGTACACAAATAACGTCTACTATTGATTCATACAACAGCCTAAGTGTATTAACCGGGAAATAGTAGTCCGTTTACGCGGAGAACTTTCCGTGAGATCCGATACAGGCTTCCGACATACTATAAGCATTGACCAGTGGCCAGTGAGTCCCGAGAGGGTCACTCAGAGATTAAGTGACGCCCGTGAGGTGTCCTATAAACTACCCTTCCATAAATTACGCGCATTACCTTTGCAGTGATATCCATTATTTTATATATTCACGGTATCCGGTTATTCGGACCGTGTTAACGGGACCAACCTAGTAAACCCATAATACCACTCCCGTTACACTAGAAAATGCATTATTGTTATAAAAATCTTTATTTTTAAATAATAATAATGAAATAATTTAAAATAGAAAAAATAGAAATTCTATAAAATTAATAATAATAATAATATTAAATCAATATTTATTATAAAACATATTTTACTTATCATATATCAATGCTTTTGAAATTATTTTGAACTATAATTTTGTGTGTATGAAAATTAGCTATTTATTATACAAACATTTAGTTTCTGCCAATACTGATAATTACAAGTATTTAATACAAAGAAAAAAATTAATAAATTATTGATAAAAGAGATAAACTAAATGATAACTATATCATAGTTTATTTGTCTTTCTCCTGAATATTGCGTTTTATTTGCTATGTTTTTATTGCATTTATAAGTAAAAAATAGTTGAATTTAAAGCCAATTTTGTAGCTGTTTTTATGTACAGATTATTTAAATAAATTTTMTCTTAACATTAATGGATATATTATACAAATTGTTTACTTATATACCATATTAAGAGTACTTTAACTTTTATACGCTTTACAAGTAAATGTTTAATTTAATTAGTTAGCTGTGGTTTGCAAATGTTTGCATAATCTATTTAAACTAAATATTATTAATAATTATTAGTGTAATCATAATCTTGTTATTAAACTAAAAACATTCAAAAAAAATTCAATTAAATGTATTTTTATTTTAATGATACACAATGCCTAAACATAGTTTTAATTTTTATAATTTTTAATGTCTTTGATTTATTTGATATTTTTAATTTATAATTATTACTTTTTATAAATTATAATACTAACTTTTTTAATTATTATTTTATTGCTAAATTAAAATTTTGTATATAAATTAAAAATTACTTTTTGTGCTAATATTTAATTTTTGATGGATATAATAATTAAAATGACAAATATATTTGTAGATATTATCAATACAATAATAATCAAGGGTTATCATGGGAATCGTTTCAACTAAATGTCCAATTGGATCGATAAGTTAAGTACTATTAGAAATGTCAATTGATGGTCAATACTATATATTTTTTATAAACAGTTATCATAATGTATAGTAATGTCTAAAATATTAGCTAATTTTTTCTTTCTTTATGTGTATTCAATGCAAAAAAACTAAAAGTCAACCAAAATATAATACTATTTCACTAATGCAGTGAATTTATAATAAATAAATATAAAAATGCATTTATTCTCTAAATAAAATATAGTGTATAACCATAATACCTAAATTTATTTATAAAACTATATTAAGCTTATGGCTCCGGGATATAATGTTTTGAGAAAAATTGAGTCAAGCAAACAGCTTTGCCATTACTTTACTSTATATAGAAGTTTCAATTCTCGATATATAAAGTAAAATATATTGTATAAGTTAATGTATATTTATAAATAACATATAATAATATATGTAAAACACATACACTATCTTTGGCTCATTTTGTTTATAAAAATTTCACATTTCTTTCTATATAACTGTATATAACTTCTATATATATTATATAATTACTTTAACCTCAATATACAATTTGAACATTAAATTATAATCATATAAACAAAATACGATGGATATATAAAACAAAAATTAATAATAATGGAAACAAAATTTTATGTATAACAAAAATTTTATTTTTTATTGTTGAAAATTTTACTAATATTATCATAAGATTTATTGATAAGCAGAATATTCTATATAAAAGATAATTTTTATTGTTTTTTTTGTTTCATACAAAAAAACAAATGATTATAATTATTTTTAAAAATATATTATGATTATAATGTTTTATTATTTAATAAATTGCTAATACTAGTATAATTATATTAATTTATGTAAAATTTTTGTTTTTAGATATGCAAACTATAAAAATCAAAGATTATAGTTTATTATTATTACTATTACTAATAGTATATAAATTTACAGTTTTTAGGAAATAATAATAAATGACAACACGAAACGATATTAAAAAAATTTATAGCATTTAATAATTTTGATGTAAAATTTCATAATACTTAGTAATAATAGAGATTAAAAACAATTTTCTAATTATAGATAATAATAATAATAACCCTAATTTATTTATATATTTTTTTCACTAGTTATATTAAATTTGAATTTATGTTAATTAATTAGCAACGTATTAATGCATTAAATTGTTAATTGGTTAAAAATAAATATTAAATTTAATTTACATTTATATAGTATAATTGAAATCATTTTATTATTATATTTAGTTTAAATTGTTATAATAACCAATATATTTATTTTTTAAGCATATGCTAGATATCATTACTATTATAATTATTATTAAAGATTATTATTTGTTTAATCGTATATAATTATACAATTAACTAAAACAAATAGATATTTTTTCTAAAATATATATTTGATTCAATCAACGATTATTCTATTTTATTAATTTTATTTTGTTAATATTTACTATTGTTTGACACTACTATTATTAATATAGATAATTCAATTATTAGTTTTATATAATACATAAATTTAATAATTAAAACATTTATATATAATATTACTGATAAATACAATCATTAGTTAGTAAAATAAAAAAGTAATTTTACTATAAATAATAATCTCATTTATTTTACTTAATATTAAAATAATTAGAAATATTAGTATTATTCTATTTTTATTACATTATAAATTAATTATACATAATCTTAGATAAAATTGTATTTATATTTTATATTTTATAAAAATATATTAATAATATTTACAATCTACTATAAATTATATACATTATATAATATGTCATGTATATTATATTAAATATATAAATTTTTACTAAATTATATTTATGATTGTTTGCATATTTATTAATTTTTACCAAATTAAAAAAATAAAGTATTTATTGTAAATTATAATTATACAGAAATAGATCTAATGTCAAAACTAATAAAAAATTAACCGTAAAATCCAAAAGTCTTACTATTAAATAAATTATTGCTATAAATAATCTATATATTTACTGTATACTTATTGTATTATTATTACTATAAATTTATATAAATAGATACAACTTATACTTTTTGTATAAACTATATACATATAAACCATATATTTTATATACACTATTTGTATAAATAAAATGACTTCAAGTATAATGCATTATAACAACATTGAAGAGATAGAAATTAATGATAAGGAAAGTGAATCACATAAAAGTCTTTTTTCATTGTAATGATTGATTACTGATTTATTCAATTGATAAATATATACTGAATATATACTGTATATATATATTTATATTAAGATTATATATATAAACTGAGACCTATGTCTATATGCATTGATAGTTAGTGAACTTATTTATCGTTAAATATATATGCAATAACACAGCAATAGTTAGCTGAATAAATACATTGTGTATATAAATTATGACCGTATCGTTACTACAAATTTTTATCAGGTGTGTGTGTATTTGTGTTTGTGTTTACTTGAACCTTAAAAATGATTTTTATTTTATCACTGAAATGCTAAAACCCCTAAGAGATAAATATGTTTTATAATATACTTTATTTTTTTTGGTTAAAAAAACTGCCAAAAAACAAATACCATAGTATTGAATACACAATATATTTCATTGATTATCAGTTGACATACTAAAATATTTACTATATGCAGATTACAGTATACAGTACTATGTGTTTATATTATATATTTTAAAGATAAACATATAAATTACATACATTGAGATCTTAACTATACTACTGACTGCCAGTAAAAGTAGGTCTATCCGAAAATTTATATGTGTTTGTATGCATTGGCATTAAGGATAGTAGTAGTATTAGTAGTAGTTGACTCAGTTGATGTGTGTGTGTGTGTGTGTGTGTGTATTATTGGTGCAAAAAGATAGATAACTATATAGACATTGAGTGCAGAAATAGTTTAATACAAAAGATCATACAAACCAGCGATCGATTCACAGAAGAGCTGTACATCAGATCCCTCGTCAAAGACGGCAATACTTTTGAGTTCAATTCCACTCTCATCTCTGATAATCACTCTTTTGGGAGGAACTGTTAGATAGATATTTGGTCGGCAAATGTGTAGAAAGAGAGAGAGAGAGGGAGAGAGAGAGAAACATACGGTTAGTATAGTTAGTTAGATATACATATAGATTATATAGACATATCAATAGTATAGAATATTATTGGTAAAAAGTCTAATGTATACACAAATACTGTACACATACAGTATATATTGATAATAAAATATAGCAAATAACATATGAACAAAAATTTGAATTTGTTTTTTATGTACACTAATATTAGGTAATAATAGTGTGTTTGAGATCTTTATATTTGACATATGATATACAAGTCTCTGTATATGTCTATAAACAAGTTTATATACAACAATAGGTTTGTGACACCAAAACTTTTTTGCTCCTTTTCCTCCCATTCCTCTCATCATTCACTCTATAATTTTTTCTATCTCTCACTGGGAGTGCATTTCGTGGACACAATATATTATACATTATTAGATAGTTATGATACTATTATTCTTATTTCTGTACTGTATATTGAACTTAGTGTATATACTGTACTAATATAGCGTTCAGTCATAATATAGCAGCAGTAGGTGTAAGCGTTTTATCAAATGAGAAATATAAATCTATTACATACTATCATATTATAGGGATATAATGATAAAATGTTGTGTTTTTTGTTGTTTAACTAATAGACAAACAAAAATTCACAAAAAATATAGTTATATTGTCATTTAAATTTATAATAAGTTAAAATTATATCGATTTTAAAGAAAGAATTTGTAGATAAAAAATACACATTTATATATACTGTATATTAAGCAGTGTATTATATAAAATAATATTTTTAAAATACAGAATATTCTGTATATATATACTGTATATTATATACAATATACGTATATAAAATTATATTAATCTCAGTTTAATGTGTATATCTAATATATCCATATAAATTTATATTTAGAATAGTACAGTGTATTTATGTATATATTTTTATAATATTTTTTTATAATAGATATATATATATATATATATGTTTGTGTGTGTGTGTGTGTGTGTGTGTGTGTGTGTGTGTGTGTATCTATGTGCATTGTATTTGTGTATTGTATGTGTGAATTGCTTGATGACATTTTTATGGACTTCCTGTATACTGTATAATATCTTATATACAGTTTATATATATTATTATATTTATTTTAAGAGTTATGCGTCCATATGTTAGATACAATATTTGTTATATAATAAAAAGCAAAAAACATAAATAAATAAAACAAATACTACAGTATATATAAACGTATATTTTTGTTGAAAAAATAATAACAATATATTTTCTTTGCCATTAAATCTATTTTCAATATATTTCATATATATTTTATTTATATGTTGTGTAAACTGTATATTGTTTTATTTTCTATAAGTAATAATTTTTTTTGCAACTTTTTTTTTTGTTTATTTGGTGTGTGTTTTTGAGCCATAAAAATAAATGTTCAAAAATTACAAAACAATAAAAATAGTGTTAAGGCTTTCTCTCATTTAAACTACTGCAGCAGTAGTAGTAGTCAATTGTTTATTACTTGTACAGTGCAGCGTGTATTTAATGTGCAATTTATTTTACAGTAAAAGTGTATTATTTTTTAAGTTTACAGTTAATAATTGGTGTCCATAGTCTTAGCCCTGTCCCTAAAATGATAGTATTTATATTGTGTGTGTGTGTGTGTGTGTGTGTGTGTGTGTGTGTGTGAGCTTTAATAGCTAATAATAGCGTGTGAATATAGTATGTGTGTGTGTGTGTGTTATAAATAAAAGACATTATAAAGTTTAGGTTAACGATTTTTTAAAAAAGCTAAATAAAAAACATATAATAAGTGAAAATAATGATAAATATTTTGGAGACAAATATGTTTTTAATGTTAACATGTTTTTTGTTATTTATATTCAGTCGACTTTAAAATTATTTCTTAGTAAAGAAAACAATGTTTTACTTTTTCTAGTGTTTAATATTTAGGGTTTTATATAATATATTATTACAAACACACACTAACTCATTCACATTATACATATTATATACTCTATATAGTAAATAATGTTGATTTATGATGATTTTGTAATAAAAAAATAGGATTTATTTGCTCTAAGATTTGCTTTCTATTGATATAATATGTAATTAAAATGAACTGAATGTGGATATTGTGTGATATTATATGGATTGAGATTTTATTAAAAACAACTTAGATTTCACTCTCTGTCCAAATGAAACAAAATACCAGAATATTCTCTGTGTAGTAAAATATTGTCTCAGTTTCTCTCTCTCTCTTTCTTTCTTTCTTTCTTTCTCTCTGTTCAGTTAAAACTAATGTTGAATAATAATAAATAGCTAAAAGATTAGTAGAGATTTGTAGCCTTAGATATCCGACTAAAATTCTGTGCATCAAATCAATAGTTTATTTGTTGTGAAGACCAACTACTTTGATGGTGAGTGAGACAGACAGAGAAAGTAAGAGAGAGAGAGAGAGAGAGAGAGAGAAAGAGAGAAGTTTGCAAAACCCAATGTGCAAAATAAAGTGCAAATTGAAAACAACTTTTTTTAAACATTTTTGTCTCACAAATTCTCTGAAAATCTTTTACATTATAAGAAAATTTGCAAAAAAAAGATAATTAAATTAATTTATTTTATTTAAAACTATTAAATAATTGTGTCACGTTTGATGATAGAGTGAATAATTGCTTTTTAGATATAAATTTAGTTAACAATAAAATAAGAGAATAAGTTTTTTATATAAGATATTTATTTTTAATATTTGTTAAATCTAATATTTATTGAAATAAATCTTTAAAATAAAACTTTACCCTAAGTTATCATACTAAAAAAAGCATTATTTTAACTTTTTTATATAGAATTATATTTCATGATAAAAATATATTCAATTTTTTGCAAATATATATATATATATAATATAACTTATATTTTTGTGAATATATATTTTTAAATATTTAAGTCACGTATTGTTTTGTATCACTGAATAAAAAATTGAATACTACTACCGTAGCAATAGTATTATAATCATGAAATGTATTACATATAAAAATATATTTCACATAAAACTTCAAATAAAAATTTATGCAAAATATTCTAATGTAATGTAGTTTTACATAATATAAGGTCTGCGGTTAAGAGAGACTAACAAATTATATCACATATAATACATATAAATAATAACTATTAATACATACCGACAACGTTGAGCATAACGTTGCTGATTGTGGTACGCGTCCACCGAAAGTCTACTCGACACCAGTACTGACCGCTGTCCGAGTCGACAATAGGACTGAGCCGAAGTAGAGCCGGACGGACTGATATATCAAACGTTGCTCTGCCGGCCAGTTCGTCAGCAATAAAATGTTTGGCACTTTCCAGTGGGGTATTCCTACTGCGGGCGTCTATACTATAGATGGGCGCTCCCGATATGTCGTCACCTCTGTACCAGAGGATTAAGGTCACTGAATCGGTCGACATTCCCGGTGCTGTTATCTCGCACGGGAGCGCAACACTGGAGCCTAATATTGTTTGCTGTTCAGGAAATGCTGTATTTGTTTTCAATGTTAACATTAAAAACAAAATTTATTTAATATTATAATTGATATTTCTAATTAAATTAAATTTTTTATATTATATATGGTTTATGTTTTTTATGGTTTTAGTTAATAGTTGCTTAAAATATAATTATATTAATATATACTGTATTATAATAATATGTTTTCACTAACTTCTAATGTTTGTAACATTTTTAATCAAATAAAATTATGCTAATTATACTATATGTAGATTCTTTGTTTAAACATTTTTGGAAACCAAAATTATTTTTTATATATATTATATAATAGTTTTAGTTATTTTTAAGCTTAATATGCATAATAATTGAGTTAATTACATGTCTGGCAAAGCATTTATATGATATATTTTTTATATTATTAATTTAATAAATTAAATAAATATAATATACTATATTATGCTATATATAATATATTCGTGTTTTTTGAAATAAATCTGTAAACCATTTTTTATACAATAATATTGTTTGATTATTACAACTGTAAAAAATTGTGTCATAATTACCTGCATGACTGGTAACTACTATAGTAACTACAATATAATTGATAATATCTATAACCAAAAAAATACGAGTGCAATAATATTTATATATACAGTATATATATATATATATTAAATTAAACAATATTTATTAGATATAAAAACAGAGTTAAATTAAGTAAAATAAAAATTTAATTTGTGATATGATATGTAAAATATATATTTATATTACTCACTGGTATGCTCTGCCTGTAAATTAATGTTGGAATTCATGGCCGTAGACATCACTATTGTTGTTGAAATGGGTGGGGAATGGGATGAAAATAAGACAGAAAGATAGATAAGCACATCGGATGAGTAGGTTTTTTAGTAAATATACAGTTTATGAATATTAGATTAGAATATATTTATCTACAGTATATATATATATATATATATACTGTAAATTATATATAGTACTGTAGTATGTACTGTATAAATACAATTATAAACAATATTTACTAAACTATACAAACATAATAAAATGGTAGTAGTAGTAGTACATTACATTCAATGATTTTATAATAATTAAATTTTTGTTTAATTATTATTATTTATTAAACAAATATACATCCTATATTGACAATGCTAAAAAGTTGTATATTTAATTTCACTAAATAACAAAAAAAAGTAACACACGTTTATTACTTAAATGTTTTGAATAATAATTAGTATAATATAGTGTATAGTTCTAACTCAATATATATTTTTAAAAATCAATTGCTTTTATAATGCTATTATTGTTTCACAAAAATAATTTGAAACATATTTAAAACATTTTTTTCTCTATTTATATTTAGTAATGCTAATTTTGCTAATAAATATGTACAGTAAATGATAAATAAATATACAGCAAATACATTTTATAATTTTATTTTTTAAATTACAAATATTCTGTTATATTATATTAAATGTATAATAAATAAAATGTATTGCATTTATATATATGGTAATATAATACATTATACTAATCTATTACGTGATTCAGATTGCATACAAATATATATATATATATATATATATACTGTGTATATAGAGTTATTGAAATATATTATATTTCACTTGTCTATTATTGGATAAAAAAAGTAAATATTTTTATCAATAATTATCATATATAAAATAAATTTATACCTTGAATAATGTGTAACATTAATATGAATGCAATGTATTGAAATTTAATGAATAGATTACATTTAGTTTGATATCGATATATATAATAATGATGATGATAATGATTATTATTATTATTACTTATATTACTGTTAATATTGATATTATTAATATTATGTATTGTAGTTTTGATGCAAATCATCATATGTTTTGATCACCGGATGAGCCGTTCATATCATTATTTAATTTATTTAAAACCATTTAATAGTATTTCATATACAAATCATGTTATAAGATGATCGTCTATTGTATAATAAATGATTTTGATTTTCTGATTCATATTTTATTCAACCAATGTTTTCAAATATTATTAATTAAATTGATTGTATCTGTAAAAAAATAAATTATAAATATTAATAATTTTTTTCTAAATTAAAATATTAAGTATTGAATAAAATAGATACAGTATAAAAATTTAGTATGTATAATACAATGAATAAATTATTGTTAATTACTTATAATAAATTAATATATTAAAATATATTAACGGTACAATAATTAAAGATTTTGTATTTTTTAAATACAAAGCACAGTGTAATTTTGTAATTACAATGTTATATAATTATAAAAATAAAATAATTAGTTTTTTAGTTAAAAAATAAAATTTTCTTATATGTAATTAAATTTCATTGTCTTAACAAATTTTTAAAATTTTAGAATTTATATAAAATTAAATTAAATTTTAGTTTTATTTTGAGTTATTCATAAAGTGAAAGCTTTTTATCTATAAAAATAAAAATATATATTATATAATATTGTATAGATTATCGCATATATCATATAAAATTACAGTATATATATTGTATTAGACTAGTGTATTATATTAAATAGATAGATAGATAAAATACAAAACATATATAAAGTTATTAAATGAATAACTTTTAGTGTACTTATAGCCAACCATTTCTGCTTCGATGAACATTCAAACCAATGGACAGTTAGATTTTGAGTTCAAAAATAAAAGTCAATATTTTTTACTTTTAAAATACTGTAATCATAAATATTTAAAACATTATATATATTTTTTGTTAATATTGAATTCTCAATTGTTATGTAACTTTTTATATTTATTTTTTAAAAAGTTTTAAGATTACATTTTATTATTTGAGAATAATTTATGTTTTTTGTACATTTTTTTCTCTGTAAGTGCATTATTATTTAGCAATCAAATATATATATATATATATAATATGATTCACAAAATTATTACTATTTTGGTGCTTATTTTTTTGTCAAATAGTGCTCAAGTTAAAATATAAMAACTATAACATATACAGTAATATACAACATTAAACAATATTAAATTATAAATAATATAATTACAAATGAAATAATGTAAATTAGATTTTGATTTTTTTTATCGTAAAGCATTTATATCTCATAAATATATTATATTTTCAGATATTTTTTATTTAATCATATGTTATTAGAAATGGACAAACAGAAATTTTTAATAAATTTTTCTAAGAAAGTTTCTCAGAAATAAATTTCTTTAAAAATTTTACTTTATTGTTATGCTATGGAATCCCAATATATAACTACAGTATTGTAATACTGTATTATTGATAAATAATTTACACAAAACTATTATACAAATTAGGATCTCTATATTTAAAATTAATGAAATAATATTATTATATTTAGTTATTATTAATATAATATATAATAWTATAGTTTATTATAAAATACAGTATATTATTTTTAAAATTTTCCTCTATGTAATAATGTATGTATAAAATAATAACTTTACAACTTAAAAATATAATAATAAATTAATCTACTAAAATTTTTACAAAATATGTTATTATCAATCTTTTATTACTTTAAATTTAGTTCAATATATTAAATTAGTTTTCAATATCAATTAATTGTATTTTTGACATTTTTAATTATATTACTTTTATTGATAATAATTGTAAGTTATTTAGATGTATATTTATATAAATACATACATTCATACAATATTATATTGATTGAGACAATCTAATTAATTTAGTAAATCTAATAAAGAAAAATTTTCAAAATTGTATTTATTATTATATTATATATTTTGATACAATAAAAAAATTAACTTTATCAAATTCTAGTTCAATGTAAAAAATTTAATTAAATTTGTTGTCTTTTATGTTTTAAATAAAATTATATTTGCACTTTTGAAATAATCAATATTTATAATTATATTAAAATGTAAATCTAATATATTTTAATTCAATTCTCACTATTTATATGAATATTTGTTATCTTATATTATGTTTAATTGTTTGCCATAAAACAATAAATATAATCATATAATCAGAAAAAATATAAGACAATCATTTGTTATTTAAATAAATATAGAATATTTTGTTCGCTAAATATTCAAATAATAATATAATAATATTAAAGCAAATGAAAAATATTTTATATAAGACATATTGTTTTAGTCAATATCTTATTAATACTTATATAAGTATAAAATCTTTTTTACTTTCATTTCAATTCTTGTGGCAATAAATGCGTGTATAATATGTATGGGATATAGCACTTGAAATTTACTTTTCAGATAATATATTTGGTTATATTGTTTTATTATTATTATTATTATTATTATTATTATTATTATTTTGTTTGCATTTTTGAGTGTATGTGTGAATAAATTTGAATAATAATATTAATAACGAGCATTWAGTTTTAGTTCACATTTTYATATAAATGCATATTTTAAAAATACTAATCGATTAAAATTATAATTTTTATATTTTTTAATACATAGAATATAAATATATGCAAATATATTTGTTTGTTTTGTCTAAATGTGTCTAAAGTGTAAAATAATTAATTAGTTAATTGCCTAAAAATGTGTGTATGTCATCAATTTGTAATCTTTATTATACTATTACTATTACTATGGTAAATATATTCAATATAATATGGTTGTTATAATTAAAAATGCTTATTTAGAAAAATATTTTTAATAATATATTATCATTTATTTTAATGTTTGATGATTTAATTTTGCTAAGGTTTTTAATTTATTTCTAAGTATTATTTAAATATCGTTATGCATATACATTATGTTGTAAAATGCATTATATATATATATATATATATATATATTAACTTTATTTATGTCAAAAACAAATTAAAATTATATTAGCAATATCAAAAATATAAATTTTATACTAGATAAACAATTTATATACTACAGTATATATTGTACTATCATGTTGAATTTTATTATACCCAACACAACAATAAACACGGATATAAAATTCAATAATAAATAATAAAAATAAATATAACCGATTTTATTTATACATTATTACGGCTATTGTATATATATATATTGTATAATATAAATATAATTTTCAACTATAAATTCAGATACATAGACACACACACACATTGAATAGAAATAGTTTTGTTGATATCAAATAACCAAAAAAACAATATTTTTATTATAATATATATACCTTATTATGCAGTATTATAATGGAAAAAATAAAACACTACAATATACAGTATATACTGTATATATATAAATTAAGTGATTATAAATGATACAAAATTTATAATGTAAATGCTAGTGAGTGAGTGAATGAATGAATGAATGAATGAGTGAGTGGGTGAGTGAGTGAGTGAGTGAGTGGGTGAGTGAGTGAGTGAGTGAGTGAGTGAGTGAGTGAGTGAGTGAGTGAGTGAGTGAGTGAGTGAGTGAGTGAGTGAGTGAGTGARTGAGTGAGTGAGTGAGTGAGTATGTAAGATACTAAAATATATCCTAATAAATTAAATTAAAATTCAAAGCGTCAATCTCTTTGTGAGTGTGTTTAGCTTTTGTTTTATTTTGTTGTTGTTAAGCATACATTAACTTAAAATGTATATAAATATATATATATATATAAATCCATCACTGAGGTACCATATTTTACAACATTATTTTTTAAGTAAGTACAGTAAAAGTAAAATACAGTATGTTAGGGGAACAGTATGTATGTAAAAACGACATGCCTGTCGGGAATGTGCCCTTTCAGGGGAGAGAGAGAGAGAGAGGTTTGACAAAACAGATTATTAGCCCATACTATGGTATGGTATGTATCTATCAATCTCTACTGTATACTCAATATTCCCGTGTCATTCACCTTATGTTTAAAGGTTTAACATACAGTATATATATATATTATAAGATAGCCCCTAATATTTTTTTAAAAAATATACTCTTATATAATGTCATAATATAAATGTTAAATCAAATATAATATCATCTACTGTGTTAGTATTAGTCATAGCATTATTAGCACTACTATTACATAATCACATATAATATGAGCCCTAAAATCCCATTTAGTTTAGTTTTTTTTATTTCATATCATAAATGTATTTTGACTGGCAAAATTAAATTTAGTCAAGGACAATTTGCCAAATAGATAATAATAATAAAAAACAACAAAAATTTTGTTTTTTGTCTCCCATTTACAGCCATATTATACAATGAAATAACAGAAATGTATATAATATACTCTATATTATTATTAGTACAGTAGTATATACTGTATAATATACTATACAGTCACACACACACACACACACACAACAAAACAACTACTAGTCCTATGATTACATTTTTTTCAATCTCTCACTCACTATCACTCTCTGTTCACACATGTCGTGCCTCTGGGATATGACATACAGTTTTGGACCGAAACAAAAAAATCTTAGACATTCATAACAATACTTTAGTTTTATAGTGTGTTTATGTGAGAGAAAGAAAAAGAAAGAAAGAAAGAGAGAGAGAGAGAGAGAGAAGTGAAAAAATTAGATGAAAATAAAGCTTTCAATCTTTACGGTATTTATATTATATATAGTATATACAGTGTATATATATATATATATATATATATAAATTTATGTATAAAAGAGAAATGTTGTGTCAAAAAATATATTCAATGATTTATGGCCTAAATAAACATAAGTTTTGTTGAGTTTATATTTATAAATAAATTGTGTTTTTAGTCTCTCTCTCTCTCTATTTTAAAA